AATTCGATATCTCTAAACTAAATTTCTGGTTGCTGAGTTCAAAACTGAATATTAAAAAAAAACTCCCATAAACGACCCCCATTGGCATCATACATAGCCTGCATTGGACATATCACTTCCTAAGACTTTTGCCGTCTCGACCGAGAGTAAGAATCACATTTATAGGGCCAATTTCATTCCCACTCTTAGTGTTAAATTCATATTTCTGTTTAGTAGTTTAATAAGAATAAACAAGAGCAAAAACAACGACTACCTATCTACTCACGATAAAATCGGTTCTTCTCAATATTCCGCAATTAGACAAGGAGCTACAGACAATTTTATTTAAAGGAAGGACTTATAGCTAATAACCATTTTAAATTCCAGGTAAACCTCATCTGAACACACAACTTCGTTCAGTCAGTTGAACACTTGCTTTCTATACGAAAATTTAAATTAATGAGGCGAAATTTGATGGTTCATTTAAAGGAAAAACTGATGGCTGAAATTTTGATATGACGTAAAGAATACACCTTGACTGACGTCAAAGTCATCACATTAGGGCAGTCGGATAGTAGTTGGTTGAAGAAAAAATTAAAATAGACGGTTTCTCTTCGTCTTTCTATGTTTTTTTTGGGAAACTGATCTGAATTTGACATTCCCAAACGAAATGTTCCATGCATCGAGATATATGCAAAAACATCAACTGTTTTGGATATGACTCCGAAACTGCGCATTTTATCGAAATTATTATTATATACAACGTTAAAGAAGATAAAATTTACTATCAATTTTATGCATAGATTTTTTATGTAGGGCTAACGGGTAAGAAAAATCTATTTTTGTCGGTTTTTCCCCAAAACTCATAATCTATGCATGTATCGAAGAAATTCAATATAATCAATTTTAAAGAGCATTAAGTTTCGTATGTACTTCATACATACACGTTAATATGTAAGAAGATTAAACGGCTGTTAAAGCTCAGAGAATCGAAGTCGTATTTCCCTTGTAGTATCTGCCGCTCATAAACTAAGTGCTTTTTATCTTTTCAATGCTTTATTTTCGGCTAATTTAACTATTTTATAACCGAACTAGGATGTATAAACATATTACATAGCTTTTAAATATTCTGTTGATATGCATAACAATCATCACAAAATTAAGCAACAAAATGAGTTTTAAAATTCTCGCGGCCGAACACTGCTTTCTGTACTCAATTCCCAACGTTTTAACCTAGTTCCCCCGACCTCACCTACCCAATGGCCCACTGATCCTAACCGAAATTCCGATATTCTTGATTTCTTCATCCACAGTGGTTTAGGTTCCCTCAACTATTACATTGCATGCCCCGATGAACTTTCCTCAGACCACAGTCCATTAATATTCCAAGTATCACTAGCTCCATTTCCTAAACCCTCTCCACCGTCCTTTATCAGAGGTCCAGTCAACTGGAAACTCTTCCATCAAATCCTATCCGAACAAATTGACCTCAGAATAACCCTGAAAACCCTAGAAGACCTTGATATTGCCGTACACTCCTTTACCACCACCATTAAACAAGCAGTCTGGACTGCTTCCTCCCCTAACCATTCCCCAATAATTCCTAAAGAAAAATAAGTTCCATGAATAAGTTACCTCAACACATCCTGGAGTTAATCCAAACCAAACGCCGTACCAGAGTGTTATGGCAACGCACCAGACATCCCATAGATCGCCATTCCTATAATTATTACTCTAAAAAAGTCAAGCAAGAATTATCCAACTTCAAATCCCAATCCTTTAACGCTTACCTTACATCCCTCTCAGCTCACGACAATTCTCTCTGGAATATCACCAAAAAAATTCTAAAATCCCAAAACATTTTTTATCCCCTACGTCAAGGCAATGGCTCCTGGGCGGCGTCTGATGAAGACAGAGCTGAGGAATTCACCAAACACCTCTCCTGTACATTTACTCCTCATCCTGAATCCCATTCCATCCACACTACAAAAGTAGAAAAATTCCTCTCCTCACCAATTCCACTTTCCCCACCACCAAAAGCAGTTCATCCTTCTGAGGTCAAATATCATTTACAAAAATTATCTTCCCGCAAATCTCCTGGATACGACCTTCTAACCCCACAGACAGATCCTTCATCAATTACCACCCAAAGCGATCATATTCCTCACATACATATACAACTACATCCTAAGAACTACCCATTTTCCTCTCTTATGGAAACATTCCACCATCGTCCTTTTCCTGAAACCAGCCAAACCTTCCAATAACACATCATCCTATAGACCAATCAGCCTAATCCCAATCCTTTCAAAAATATTAGAAAAAATCTTATTAAAAAGAATCCTACCCATAATAGAATCACAAAACCTTCCTACCCATCAATTCAGATTTCGTTTCCAGCATTCCACCGTTCAACAAGGACTCCGAAATGTTGACCACATATCCTCAGCCTTAGAAAGCAAAGAGTATTTCTCGGGAGCATTCCTGGACATTGAGCAAGCTTTCGACCACGTATGGCACACCAGACTACTCTTCAAGCTCAAAACCCACCTACCCCAGTCCTTATATCTAATACTCCGATCCTACCTCTCTGACTGCTCCTTTCGAGTTCGTTGTGGTACAGAATTCTCCAACTGCCATTCAATTGAGGCGGGAGTTTCTCAAGGCAGCGTCTTGGGTCCCGTCCTCTACATTCTGTTTACCGCTGATATTCCTGCTCATCCCGAAACCCTCCTGGCAACATTCGCTGATGACACAGCTATCCTATCTTCCAATCCAGATTCTAAAACAGCATCCACAAACCTACAAAGTCACCTTTCTCTTATTGAACATTGGTGTAATAAGTGGCGCATCCAAGTAAATGAATCCAAATCCAAACACATCACTTTTACCCTTCGGCACAAGTTCTGTCCACCAGTCTACTTCAAATCCATAACATTTCCTCTCTCAGACACAGTCCGGTATCTTGGCTTTCTTCTAGATTAAAGACTAACGTGGAACCCACATACCAGACTTAAAAGACAACAACTAAACAGACGATTCGGACAGCTATATAGACTAATGAATAGAAAATCTCAACTTTCAGTCGACAACAACTACTAATTTACAAGACAATCCTGAAACTTATCTGGACCTACGGACTAGAGCTGTGGGGGTCAACAAAACCTTCTAATATTAAGCGCATTCAATCCTTTCAGTCTAAAGTCCTCCGAACAATAGTCGATGCTCCCTTCTATGTATCCAACAAAACCCTCCATAATGGCCTTCATATCCCATTTGTTATTGACCTAATACCAGACAAATTTTCCAAATTTCATCAGAAACTCACTCATCATCCAAATCCTGTAGCACAATCCCTGTAGCACAACGGCAGTGGCCCCACGACCTTTTGTAAATATGTATATATTGGAGTACTGGCAATGGCCAGATTCTCCACTCATGTCCTGAGCGTCTGTTGCTCTAGTGCCCTCCATCAGTCTCCACTGGCTTGAAATACCAGTGACGCGGCTGGGAGAGAAGCACTGGGATCTCCTGGGGTCCTTGCCTTGGCTTCCACATTTGGGGGACAAAGCATGACTCAGAATCCTCTAGGTGAATGTAAATATTGTATAAAGGTTTGAATGTGTTTTATATATTTCAATTTCATTTAGCTTTTCTCTATTCTTTTTTTTTTTATTTTTTTTTTACCTATGTATGTTACTCTTTTTCTTTTATCTCTATTTTAGTTATCATTTGTATGTATATATTGTGTGAATGTTTAATATAGCCCTAATATTAATGCCCTCCAATGTGGCAGAATGTATTAATTTTCAAATAAAAATAATAATAATAAAAAAATACATTTTAAAGTCCGAGCAGTCCAACGATATTTTTCTAATTCGCATATTACGACTCTACCTAAGCATGAATTATGAGAAGCTGCCAACGTTCTCCTTTAGTTAACCCACAAATAGATGTGTACCTACAGATAGTAAATAGTATTGTTATATTTTTCTTTTTTAAAAAGCACTGTTTTAACTCCATTTTGCTTACATTTTATTTATTAGCCTTGTTTAATTTCAATATAACGGCCAGGGCTGTTATTGACAGTTACAAGTGGATAGATATAGGTTATATAACGATATAAATATGAAGATGGTCCGGTCGTCTATTACAATTACACATTATAACAAAGAAATTTACCAGGCCTCTTAAGGTAGTTATATTAATCCACTGTACATTAATTCCAATTTAAAAACAATTTTTTTGAATTAAAATAATTCTCTGACTTCAACAATTTTCCCTAACTTTTCCCGGTTTTGAAAATTCACTGACTTTTCCAGGTCGGTCACCACCCTGGAAAACCCGGGAAAACATATATTTCGTGTTGCATTCCGCAATATGAAATACAACATTATTGTAGACTCTAATATCAATTCAATTAGAAAAAGTTAGGAAAATGTGTTATGGAATCTGAAATCCGACATTATTTTCATGAAAACTACCCTGACATGGAACCTTGAACAAAAGCACTGTTAAAATTGCATTTAAATATGAATTTATATACTTTAACTAGAACTAGGAATAAAATTAAAAACAAATAAATAAAATAATGAATCAAATTCTAATCTTAAGTAAAACCTTTTTTAAATATTGAGCAGCAATATTAGAACATGTTCTGCAGTCATATTTTTCCCCTTCCTTCTAAAAACTTTTTTACTTTCTATGTTAAAATTAACTTATAATGCTGTCAACATCAATGTTATTTAATAATCCTGATAAGTAATTAATTTTTTATGTTGATAAAATCTTCATCAATAATTAAATTGACATAATCATCAATTACCAAAAATATTTCAGTGGAAAAAAAATTATAAGTGACATTTCTCCATGGTCTTATAATTTTATTTACAAATTCTTTCCAAAACTTGAACAACTCATATATCATATCAAGTTACCCTTATACTACCATTTATCTACCTTTCAAGTACTTCTAGATCACTTTTTTTTTTTTTGCACTTATTCAATATAATAGCACTAACCTTTTCCACATCGCAATATAAAAGGCACTCCTTCCCAACGTTCATTATCTATTTTCAACAAAGCAGTGCAATAAGTAGGAGTAATGGAATCATTCGGAACAGTAGGATCATCAAGATATCCTTTTTTTTCTTCATCAGTTTTACCATTGGGGTTTCCAACATACTGTCCTAATACAACATCTTCTTTTTTAATAGGTTTGATACACTTCAAAACTTTTACCTAAAAAATTTAAAAAATCATTTTTTTTCTGTTAAAAAGCAAATTAAATTAAATAAATTATGCTTCATTAAGCAGTAAATACTAACACAATTGAAAGTTAAAAAAAAAAAATTCTGGTGAAGTGTGCACATCACACAACTTTCACTTAGCAACCTTTAAGTAGATAAGTATTTTCTTATAGGAAGTTGAAATGAAAACGACAGTATAACTTCATTTAAAACAATTAATTACCATGTTTTTCACATCCATTGAATCAGTTCCATTTCCTTTTACAACTGTGTATAGTATCAAACAATACTAATGATTGTGGGGATAATAGATCTTGTGGAAAAATTCTGAGTTTTATCGAAAACATTAAAATTGCATATTATTAGGTTTATATTAGTGAATCCTCAACATTTAGCATGAAACATTTTTAAAAATTCTGGTGGGCGCATCACACAACTTTCACATACCACCCTCTTCTTAGCAGAAGTAAGTATTTTTAGACAAAGGGGAATTGAAAGTAAAAATTATTGACACTATATTTATTTACAATTCATTGTGGGTATTTTTACTTGTTTAAATACTCTTATATATACAAATTTTAATTTTTATATCGCTGTATTCTATACAATTAAATAATACCAACGATAGCATTTATGAAAACTGCATATGTATATGAACATAATATTGTCGGAGTCCATATTATATGAAGATAATATTACGTATGGAAGCCTATTGTAATCTTTACAGTAAGCTCGGACAAGCTCAAATTCCTTTGATTCCTCTATTACAACTATTATCCGTTACAATCTCTTATTTCTTCTTTAATTTATTATTAAATTCTTTCATATTCTATATTAAACTAATTTTTATATCAAAGATTGATGTGAAATGATTAATTATTTCAAAAAAAAAAAAAAATAAAGGTACTTTAGAGGAAGCCAATATTGAAAATTAGCCATTTAAACCCTGATAGAGAACATCAATGAGAATAAAACCTAAATTATATTAAAAACTGCTTAATAATACACCAATATACTGAATTTAATCAAAATCATTAGAGCAGTTTTTGAGAAAATCGTAAAAATGTGTTAAATCGATTATATAAAGTACCACTTGTACTACGGTAACACCGGTTGGTTTAAGTACCACGGTTTGCCAATTTTGGCAAAAATGTTGCATCGAAAGCTTATAAAAACCTTAAATATGCGATTTCACTCGCATACGTCTTCGTTTTTGAGCTAGACTGATAACATACATACACACACACACGATATATAGCCACAACTAAAAACACAATCTTCTTTAATTTTTATTTTTTCACTTTACAATTATTATAATAAACAAAATGGCATTTAATAGTGTGGCAAAAGAAATTTTGGGAATTCCAGAGAGGTCAAAAGTTAGTTTGGATAGGAAAAATTCATTAGTTAAAGATTACAAAAGCATTGTGCAAGCCCAAATAGCCGACAAATCAATTCAAATAAATGTAAGTGCTAACGCAGGAGTATCGGAAATTCAATCGATCTTAAATCAATTACTAGCCGGCTTTAATGAATTAGAAAATACAATAGAAGAAAGTACAAATGAAATGAAAAATAAAAATAGTTTATAAGAGATAAGACTCATTACACCCAACTGACTAATAAACTAAAATCAGAAATTAGAAAATACAAAATTCAAAAGTTACTAAATTTTACTGAAAATATTACACTTATCGACAAACCACTATGGAAAACCACTAAAAGGCTTTTGAAATTTAAAAACTGCAACCATCCACTTCTTACCGAAGCTCAAATCTGGTCCAAATCCAACAAAGAAAAATCTCCAATTTTTGCTCACCAACTCTTCAAAACCTTTAATCCACATCATGACATCCATAATGCAAGTCACCATGAATGTATATTGATGCAGAACTGGATATTCCACTCCAAATGACTCCTCTTCCTAAAGCATTTCTTCTTTCAGAAATATCCAATATTATACACCGATTACCCTCCGGCAAAGCCTCTGGCCACGACCTAATGACATCCCATATGCTTAAACTACTTCCTCGAAAAACCATTTTATTCCTTACTAACATATATAGCATTTCCAAGTCAATTTCAACGTTTTCCGAGTCAAATTCAACCTTTTCCAAATCAAATTAAACTTTTTCCAAGTCAAATTCAACTTTTTCCATTTCAAATTCAATCTTTTTTTTATTTATTTAATTATTTTTAATTTTTCGATGTGTGGGTCTGTTATAGAGTAGTTTTTGAAAATAACTTCCATTTTAAGATTACATCACTGCGTTTCGACTTATTTAAGTTTTTTTGATTTATTCGATATAAGGGTGTATTCTTATGTTTCCTGAGCCGTAAATTTTGAAAATGACCTCCATTTTATGATTACGCCACTGCGTTTTGACTTATTTAAGTTTTTCGAATTTATCCGATATAAAGATCTACTTTTATGTTTCCGGAGTCGTAGATTTTGAAAACGACCTCCATTTTAAGATTAGGCCATTGCGTTTTGACTTATTTATGTTTTTCGAATTTAACAAATATAAAGCTCTACTTTTATGTTTCCTGAGCAGTAGACTTTTGAAAATGACCTCCATTTTATGATTACTCCTCTGCGTTTTAACTTATTCAAGTTTTTCGAATTTATTCAATTTAAAGGACTACTTTTATGTTTCCCGAGCCATAGATTTTGAAAATTACCTCCATTTTATGATTATGTTATTGCAGTTTGACTTATTTAAGTATTTCAAATTTTTTCTAATCTAAAGGTCTACTTTTATGTTTCCTGAGCCATAGATTTTGAAAATGACCTCTATTTTAAGATTAGGCCACTGCCTTTCGATTTCTTTGAGTTTTTCGATTTTTTTCATATAAGGATGTATTCTTATGTCTCCGGAACCGTAGATTTTTAAAATAACTTCCATTTTAATTACGTCACTGCGTTTTGACTTATTTAAGTTTTTTTTATTTATTCGATATAAGGGTGTATTCTTATGTTTCCTGAGCCGTAAATTTTGGAAATGACCTCCATTTTATGATTACGCCACTGCGTTTTGACTTATTTAAGTTTTTTTTTTTATTTATTCGATATAAGAGTGTATTCTTATGTTTCCGGAGCAGTAGATTTTAAAAATGACTTCCATTTTATGATTACTCCTCTGCATTTTAACTTATTCAAGATTTTCAAACTTATCCAATTTAAATGTCTACTTTTATGTTTCCGGCGCAGTACATTTAAAAAATTACCTCCATTTTATGAATACGTTATTGCATTTTGACTTATTTAAGTTTTTCGAATTTTTTTCAATCTAAAGGTCTACTTTTATGTTTTCGGAGCCGTAGATTCTGATAATGACCTCTATTGTATGATTACTCTACTGCGTTTCAAGTTATTTAAGTTTTTCGAATTTATTCAATATAAACGTCTACCTTTATGTTTCTGGTGCTGTAGATTTTTAAAATGAGCCCATTTTAAGTTTATGCCACTGTGTTTTGGATTATAAAAGTTTTTTTTACTTTTTCGGTATAAAGATCTACTTATATGTTATCGGAGACGTATTTGAAATTTTTTTAATCTCTAATATTTAAATTAATCTAATATTTAAGCTCCATTTTATTATTAAGCCGCTACATCTTGATTAATTAAGCTTCATTTTTGATTTTTTTCAATACAAAGTTTCATCCATATATTTTCGAGTATGAATAAATAAATAAATAAATATTATGAAGCTAAGGTTAAATTAACCACAAAACATAAACTAAAAAGCCGAAAAAGCAACTGGTAATGAACTCAACCTACCATATTCAGATTTTTCAGCTAATTGTTCGAAATCTTATAATTTTGTTACAGGAGACCACAACATTAAAAAAGATAACTAAAATTAAATTAAAAAGAGACAATAAATATTTTATTTATTTTGATTAGATATTTTTATTTATTTCTTAAAAAATAAATTAATCATTCCTATTTTGTTTTTTATTCGAAGGAAACATCAAAAACCCTTAAAAGAAAACGAAACACAGTGGCCTAATCTTAAAATGTAAGTCGTTTTCAAAAACTACGGCTCCGGCAACATAAAAGTAGACCTTTAAATTGGATAAATTCGAAAAACTTGAATAAGTCAAAACGCAATGGCGTAATAATAAAATGGAGGTAATTTTCAAAATCTACGGCGTCGGAAACATTAAAGTAGACCTTCAAATTGGATAAATTCGAAAAACTTGAATAAGTCAAAACACAGAGGCGTAATCTTAAAATGGAGGTCATTTTCAAAATCTACCACTCCGGAAACATAAGAATACACCCTTTTATGAAAAAAATTCGAAACACTTAAATAAATCGAAACGTGGTGGCCTAATCTTAAAATGGAGTTCATTTTCAAAATCTATGGTTCTGGAAACATAAAAGTAGACCTTTATATTGGAGAAATTCGAAAAACTTAAATAAGTCAAAACGGAGTGGCATAATTATAAAATGGAGGCCATTTTCAAAATCTACGACTCCTTAAACAAAAGAATACACCCTTTTATGAAAAAAAATTCGAAAAACTTAAATAAGTCAAAACGCAGTGGCGTAATCATAAAATGGAGGTCATTTTCAAAATTTACGGCTCGGGAAACATAAGAATACACCCTTATATAGAATAAATCAAAAAAACTTAAATAAGTTGAAACCTCAGTGACGTAATCTTAAAATGGAGGTTATTTTAAAAACCACGTATAGGACAGCATAATCTCTCTGACGGACAGCATAAATATCCACCTCCACGTATTCATTGCTCATTGGTCCCATCTACCGACCTCATAGAATCCCCTTTGATGAAACACTCAAGACCATTCTCTACAAACTGAGCCCTTCCTATTCCAATATTGCTCTGTTCGGAGATTTCAATACCAACCTATTATTTCCTTCCTCTGACCAAGCCTATTTATCAAACCTCCTCTACTCTCTTGATCTGTATATAGTTCCGTACAACCCTACCGATCACACCCAATACTCAGACTCTTGGC